ATGGCAAAAATCCGAAAACCACCTTAAACTCAACAGTCTCGTCGTTCTGAAGGATGACAATCTACCACCGCTCAGATGGAAGTTGGGTCGAATTGTCAATGTGTACCCAGGAGCCGATGGTGTTATTCGAGTAGCAGATCTAAGGACTGCAAATGGAATTGTTCGGAGGGCATTCAGCAAAATATGCCTATTGCCACAACCTGAAGATTGTTGAAAGAGGTGCTTTCAACGCCTGGGGGCATGTCTAAAAATCACATACTAATTATACTTGTTAATTTAATGACTCCTGTTAAAATTCAATAGCAACAAATTGTGCACCGTGATTGCTCATATTATTAATCTTTCTTGTATTATTTTATGTCTACCGACACAGTTTCTTTTTTGTTATTGCTCTTAAGATTACGCCCTTGAAGTGAATATACTGACCTCAAGCTTAACTCCGTTTTTTTTATTTAAATACACCTGAATTCAAGGACATACATTTAATATATATTTATATGTATTTTCTACTACTAATACTAATATTTTCTTTCTTTCTAATGTTAATTTTTTTTATTTTCAATTTTTTTTCATGACCTGTACTTCAATCAATCTTGTATATTATTTATGACAAAGAAATAAATTCGCTTCAGAATTTTGTTGACAAAATGCTTCTTAATTTCTTCTACTCCCAAGCTGAATAAATTATTTTTTGTAGAAAAAAATATAGCTGGGTTATGGGATTATTACAGTGGTGTTGTTAAATAGTAGATATAAAAATAAGTCCGGTTTTCCTTCCTGAGTCTATAATTCCAGAACGCCTGAACCGATTTCCACGGTTTTGCATTCGTTGGAAAGGTCTCCGGCTCCGTGAGGATTAAATCAAAAAAAAAATCAGGAAAAATTTCTACAAAAAAGTGGGAAAACCTTTTACACATACAGCGCCATCTCTGATACATAACATCAATATTTTAAGTAGATGACGCCGGTGCATGATACATTGTTTGACAGGTACTCATTTTCTCTGCTCAGTTAATTTAATTTGAGAAACCGGAATTATTATGTTTGTAGTTTAAACCCTTAAAAAACTTTTAGTATTTGCGGGATAAATTTAGGAAAATATTGTTTTTCACATCATGTTCACGCGTTGGGAAAGCATCCGCTTTGTTTGTGTTGACGTTAGACCAAAAAACAAAAATGTGGTTTATCAAAGAGCCCTTTAATGAAACGGATAATTTGCGGACACGTATAACGCTTCTATTCAATATTTACTTTGGATTCACTTTCATTTACTTAGAGAAGTTCAACTAAATAACACTTCAATTTTATAATCGAAATGAATTCATTACTGTTGTGAAATGAAATAAAATTTTTCCTGTTCAAATATAAAACAAAAAAAAAATTCTTCATCTTTTAATCACCAAACGAAATGTTACATAAAACGAAGCCTTCTGGTGGAGAAACAGAGTTCCCCGGGTTTACTAGTCATTTCTAAAATAATCAAATATATATTGTATGTTGTGTATATCATGTATTAGGTGAATTTCTGGTTTGTTTTAAATAACTTCTATGCGTATCTATACATGGAGCTGGTTTCAAAGAAACAAAGATTTTTTTATTTTATATAATTTTTACTATTCTAAATTAGTTCCTTTTTTCACTGCCATCAAATCTCAGTTTTTCAACCTTGTTATTCTTGTATTCTTTGTCATTTTTTAATAACAAATTAGATATTGTGCATTCAAAATATAAATTGTAAATTGTCTGTATGTAAATTAATGAAATAAAGAATATTTACGATTGTGTTCTTTTTTTACGAAGAAAAATTGTCCCTAAGAGTCAAAATAAAATATGAATTTACATTGCAAATATTGTTATGAACGAACTCTTAATTATAGTCCGTAAGACTTAAGCTGAGCTTTGCATTATACTATGTATTTGCGCTGTAGCATGGTGCGGGTGACAGTTTCAGTAACGTTTCGTTTCACTCTTGAAAGTTGCCCCGATTTACAAATTATGTCTTAGTATTTCAGCTGTACCACATTCGTAATAAATTAAATCATTAATTACTGAAGTAGTTTAAATTAAACCAAACCAGAATGTTCTAGTGTACAAATATAATCTAATGGAAAGAAAAAATTAAGCAAAGTATTATGCGTTTAACGTAATGCCATAGACGTATTTAGTGATGGGATGTACTGCTACAATGGATAGTCGATGTTATTTTTATAATAAAAAATAAACATATATTGGCTGTAGTTCAATTATTATTGTAAAAAGTCTATAATTATATTAATGAAACAACAGATCTTATATAAAAATGATTTTATTCGTCAAAACTCATATCAGATTACTCATACCCGATTTTAATTATTTTATATAAGTACTATATTATTTATACTGCGAGTATCGTTAGTGATAAAAATGAATTACGCACATCACTAGTCATATTGTACTGACAGATATCAACGTCATATAGGCGAATGTCACCCGCACCAAGCTACAGCGCAAATAGTATAGTGCGAGTGAAAGTAAAAGTAGAGATAGACAAAAAACTTTTAGAATTAAATTTTATTATATTTTAAATGTATACGTAAGTGCTACAGCTATTCTAGATTAAAAATAAAAAAAGTGAAACTTGCAAAAGGCTAGATGGAAATATTATGGAAAAAAAATCATTAAATAATAAAAATTTTGAATAAACAACACAAATTCTTCTTCGCCTGACATTGCGTTTTCAACATTTGACGTGCTACCATTACAAAGGGTGAAGTGCGGAAGGTGCGGGGCGGAGTAAAAGCAGAATAAACCGGTTCAAAACTAGAAAAGAACGTGGCATTCAAAAATTTGACATAACACCTACACTATTCGTGTACACTCGCACCAATACAAAGCTCAGCTTAAGTCTAACGGTCTATACGAATTTTCAGCGATCAAGAAAAGCATAAATATCTCGAATTAACTATAAAATGATTTTTATTATTAAATGGATTTATTTTCTAGAAGCTGAATATAAATTTATTTGTAGTTGGCAATACAAAATTTTGCTGTCAATGTCAAAAGTCATAATATTTTCTAAACCCAGGGATTCAAATCTTTAAATATTTTTACGCTTTTGGAACATTGACATCGTGTCCATAAGTCCATATAATCCAAAATATAGTTACCAGAAAAAAATCTACATCAAATATTTTTTCTAAACTATGACTGCTTATTGCTACTCGCAATATGATTGTATAATGTTGTAGTCATTGTCTTCTACCGTTTATTATTGTAATCAGTAATTTAATCCTTTGAATTTCCTGTGAATAATGGAAGAAACGGAGATTAAGGTTTGCCATAACTGGTGAGTATATATTGCATCTACACTATGTTGTGTCAATAATGACTATTTATAACTGCATACGTTATCCGTTTATTTTTGGATAAATGGAACGAATTACATGTGTTCGCAGCTATTGCTCTCGGTTGTTTACCTTCTCACTAGGAAATTTAAAATTATACAAATTTACTGAAATTACTGACTTCAAGTCGTTATCGATATCTTCCCTTATTAATGTTACACGTAAAGAAGTTTTAGGAAATAAATACGATTTAATTATTAAAAAAATAATATTAACGGTTGTTAAAATTAAACAACATTAATTGATATAAATTGATTGATCGTAGAAGTTATATTAAATCAAGATGAACATGGTTTAGTTTGAAGCAATGATGACAACGCTTTTAAGAATATTGGAATTTGGAAGACATTACCTGGCATCACACTTTAGTTAGAAATTAAAATGTTTTGTTTCTTAAGTATCATGGCCGACAAAAGGGCGATAGGGAGCTTATAATTGTTAGAAACCTTATAAATCATTCGTATTGTATTTAAATAAAATTACAATGAAAAAATTAAGAAACATCAAGGTACGTAAAAATGTGGTGCTCTTATAATTCGATTACAATTACCAAATTTGAAATTTTATTCCTTATACGCTTGGCTCGATTATAAAAAAGTGCGGTATCTTCATTGAATGAAATGTTAACAATGACGTAGGAATCAACGATATTAACGTAAACTTTTTAAATGTAACAAACAAAGCGGACGAAGTCCCGATAATCGGCAAGTGCTGAAGAATTCCGTGATCCGTAATATTATTTAAAAAGCAAAATATTTCGTATACAAATGAAAATTGCGTATTATTATTTGAAATGCAAGTGCTAGTTATTTTTATGTGTAAACATTCTTGGAAACTTAACGAATGGTTATATGTATATATACCAGTATAATTGGACTAAACAAATTCGTATAAATGTTACTGTAATAAAATTTGGCTGAATATAAATTATTGGCCTCACAAATTTTAGGGCAATATTTAGCTAGTATCACATCGCTTACGCCATAGTAGGTACGAATAGAGCCTTATAATTTTGGTAAACTTTGATGTACCAAAATATCTACACTATATACTTTTGTGGCATCCCTTATTTAATTAATACTTAAATTTAACTAGTCTTATTGTGTTATAAATAAAGAATTCAATACCATTTTTAAGTGTGTCTATTTAACTTGGAATATTTATAGGTATTTTTTTACTACTTAGTGTAAGCATCGTCATATTACGTATGGATCGTTAGCGGTTTTGTCTTTCATAATTCTTGGAGCAATGTAGCATTGACTGAGTTTATTTAACGATAAACAGGAAACGCTTAGTAGTCGTAATGTGACGCTGTAATCTTAGATTAAACCCTACATGTTGAAATATTGCAACTCATGTCACAGAATGGTTTCATAAATATTATGATTTTCTCGAATCTTGATACAAAATAGCAAATAAAAACAACAGTTTAAACTAGTCGGCTTTCGCAATTAAAAAATCCTTAAAGAAGTATCTGGATACTAATTGTACGTAAAAAAAGTGATTGTATCAAGGGAAGTATAAGTGATTGTATCATAGTACATATGAAGTGAAAAGTATATATGTATATGAAATTACTATATAGATGTCCTAAATGTTTGTTATTTTGAATGACAGCAAGCGTGAGATACCTCTCGCCAACTACACTATTCACGCGGTACACTGCGCTCGCAACATACGTCTGTGTCCTGTTTGCAAGGAGCCGGTGCCGGTGCAGGAGTTGCAGAAACATCATGACGACCAACACAAGCTTGGTAATAAATACCTTAATGTAGTACAAACACTGCCTTAACATCTGTGTAATAGTGACCACTGGCGCTGATATTCTTAATGGAAATCGTAAAGTCTTTTATTTTTAAGAAATAAAGCATACGATGTATTTTTAAAGTAAATACTTTGTTGTTATGTTCAGTAAAACAGTTTGTCAACCTCTAATATAAAACGTTTTGTATCTCTAACAATATATGTATAACTGTACAAAATTTAGTTTCGAAATCGTGATGGATTTTAATAATACGATGAAGACAAAAGATAAAAATAAATTTATCACTTTTCTGATTGCTAATATCGGATAAACCAAACAGCAAAAGATATAACTGCTACGGGACCCGTGTATAATGGGAACTTCCTTATATATATCCGGCCATTCTTAATGATGGTGATTCAATGTTAGAGAATGTAAATTAATTAATTTGCTGTCTGTTTCACGTTTTGTTAGGCCAGCGCTGCTGGTGTCAGTTTATGTATGTATCAAACACCTTGCCATCAGTGCCATGTACGCAGTGCGGCGAGGACGTGTGCGGTACAGATATGGAGGATCACGTGAGGGACTCGTGCGCACTCACCATGCAGACGTGCAGGTCCGTGTCAACTAGTCTAGATTTAGTCTTGCCATAAATTAGTGTTCGAACATTCCTTTTTTATTGTTAAAAACATTGAAAATATATGAAGCTTTTTCAAGTGGTCTCCCTTTGCTGCTAGTCAGTCCTTTAAACCTTTAGCCCAGTTATAATTAGCAGCGTCGACACTTTCTATGGAAAAATTCTTTACTGCTAGATGTATGGACTGTTTGGGGACCCTAAATTGACATCGGCTTCAGAGAGACTTTATCACTAATACTAACCATATATTCATAATATGATCAAATGAATTAAGACCATTTTATTCTTTTTGTTAACGCGGTGAAAGTTTTCATGCCTACCCCTCCGTCTAGGAGAGACGGAGGCGGTTATGTTTGATTCACAGGCCAGAAGGACCCATGTTACCCACTAAAACACCAGCGGTCATTCTCTGTCGTCGCCTTGTGGATCGCCACGGGAATCGCCGAAGCATACATCCGCGACGATCCGGCGGCAGGCCGCGAACGACTATCTCCTCCTCCCCCCCCGTGGCTCACTCCATGCAACCAGGCGCGTACCTCGCCTGGCGGGCTTGCTTAATCGCGAGAGGGTTAACCCCTTACTCTTTCTTAAGCCCACGCGGCCAGTTTCCAACCACCCAGTGACGAGAGCAAGCGCCCGGCGGTAGACAGAACGGAAACGTACCTGAGTTTCCCCTCCCCCCAAGACAGCCACGAACTGCCTCCTGCCATCCGTGACCGTGACTTCTAGGGCTGTACCCTCAGCCCGAACCAAGACCCCATAAGGAGGTCAAGGCTCTCCCCCTCGTGATTGCACCGGAATACACCGGTGGGCGATGGTGTCGTCACGTACTGACGCCGGAAAATGTATTAAGACCAGAGCTAGATAACGCCAACCTTCACTTTCGATTGAGTTCATAATGTTCGTTTACCACGATGGGGTTGATCAAGCTTTATGAACCCTTGTCAACTCTTGTTGAAAGAACCGTTCCAGTTAATTGAACACGATGTTAAGGGTATATTAATCTCTTTCTGGTTTCCAAGAAAGATATCATGTTTTTCTTGTGCGGATGTTTTGATATCCTTTTAACAAGAAAATGGTTGAAAAAATTCACTTATTTATAGATAACACCCCCCAAACCATCATCCAAGTTGAATATTGTCTTTTGACTCTTTGGTAAAATTCTTTACAGGTTACAGCATGAATAAATAATTTGGTTGGTAGAATGTTGCTCAGTTATATAAATAATGATTACACAATTGAGTGGTTTATTTGTTCAATCGGGAAGATGCTAAAAAGATTTTTAGCTAAATCGTAAACAGATATCGTGTTTTTTTTTTCTGTTCATGTAGTTGCATATTATGATTCCAGATTTTGTACACTAGAACTTCGTCGCCGTGAGCTTCCCGCTCACGAGCGATACTGTGGCGCGCGCACGGAGCTGTGTGAGTGTGGCGAGTGGATCATGATGAAGTATAGGCAGTTGCATGTCGACTCCAATCATGGGTTTATCAGACTCGATGATGGTAAGAATACAGACACACACACTAATACGTAAACCAGCATTAATTAAAGGTCATTTGCCCAAATGTGACACGTTAATGCAGATTATATAAGAGCATTAAAGCAAACACGCCAACACTTAGTTGATATAATATAATGTGATATAGAAAAAAAAAGAGAAATAATGTTAAGAATTGTATGAATCTAACTAAATAATAAATTTATGAAAATTATTCGTAGTGTGCATTATAATAAATACACTTAATAAATGATGTATGATTAAAATAAAATTTCCAGACCCTGTACCAATACAGAATATTAAGGCGTCGGGGACAAAGCAGAAGGTTGCAAAAGATAAAAGGCCTCTAACAAACGGACTGAATAATTTAAACCGTCCAGCATTCCCACAGAAGAACCATTCAAAAGATTTGGACACTGCTGCTGATCAAACAGTCTCCACAAATTCACATATACCCATCGCTATAGCAAGTAGCAGTAAGGGCAACAGTTCAAAGACGAACGAGGAAAATATTTCTAAGGCCAACGGAGCTATTCCCAGATCGAACAGAATAGACAGACAGCATCCAGGGAATGATAATACAGATAAAGTTAGGAACTCTAGGTATGTACAGCACTAGCGTGCATGCCATAGGTGCAAATGAGCACTGCTTACTCTATCCATATAACAACTTAATCTACGTTGCCTAATTCTTACTAACACACTTTTAATCATACTAGTAGTAGGCACAACTACTATGTGCTTATTTTTCATACAAATCTCTTTTCATCTTCAAATCTCGTGTTGTATGCAGAAAAAGTTTTGAATGTTTGTGTACAAAACCTATGCATGTGTTGTGTTTGAAAGGCACTGCTTTCTTTTCTTTTAAAATGTCATAGAAAGTTAGTTAATTGTCAAATGAAAGGGGACTCTCTGATTGGTTGGTAAACTGTTCATATATTTTTTCGCCATTTTGTTACTAATTGATATTGTAATTTTTTATTAAGAGCAAGTGTATAATTTTAGGTAACTAATTGGTAAATAGTGAATTAATTTATTAGATAATTATGGAAAATTATGAGTGGTGATTTGCGTTTCATAAAATAATTTACGAGTACATTTTCAATTGTCGTATGAATTTTGAATTTGGTGTTGTCACTTGTTGTTGTTTAATGATACTATTAAAATAATTACAAAGGGAAGGTGTGTAACCAGTTACGATAGAACTAAAAGAAAGGTAATGTTATTCGTTTTAATAAAAGTATTATGATAGTTTTAATTAGCTAGCAGGTTGTGTACACACAAATAAGTTATGTTGTTTTAAAATAATAGTAACAAGAGCGTTTGGATCTTCACTGGACATTCCGATTTAAATAACTTTGATAAAGCTGTTATGAACAAATCGTAATCGTTTTTAAGTACTTTCGTGGCTCAGAGATAGTTGAAAGATTCTATAAAACATAGATGTTCGTTCTGCTCCGACTGCTGTAACTTTATGTGCGTACGTTATCAATGTTTAAATGATTACTTCGCGTATTTTATTTTTAAAAACTACATATTCCCCACGTTTTGGTTGATTAGCAGCAACCGTGATCACTTCAGACATCTCGTCTGTCGGTTAAGAATAAACTAAACGAAGTAATCCGAGCATATCAGTTTCATTTAAATGAATACTCGCGAAAATCTTACTCATTAATATCGATGTTTTAGAGGAGGAAATTGTGATGAAAATTGTTATACATTTTTTTCAAAAGTTTTCTGCTCACTCTACTCCAAATATCTGCAGACGCCCCTGATGTACATAGATATTATTTTAATAATTAAAATCACTTAATTTAAACAATCAGAACAGATCCAACTTGAACCAATGGCATGGGATAATATACATATAATGAAGCCCCTAAAACAATTTTCAGTCCGTTTTAATGGTATTTGTCTACTTATACTTCAATTTTAATAAGTGATAGCCTAACAACGAGTGGACTTCTCAGAATTCACAGTAATTTTAATTTACTTAATATTACATTTTTTTAAACTCAAATATTATTTCATGAATTGTATAGGGTGGCAACCAGAGGTTCCAGGAAAACTACGAAACATACTTATATGTATATTAAAATACGAATTACATATTAAACTTATAACCTATACCTAAGACTGCATGATTGCCCCGATGTTAGGATGACAATGGCATTCTATTGCTTGTGTGGTATGTGGAATCTTCTAGTTCACACGGCTTGGTGTTGGCTCCGCGGAGTCAGCGGCGTCACTCGTTATACGATATTTTACCGATACAAAGATGTCGCCCCGGCGATGTTCATTTTTTTTCTTCATATGTAGCGCCTACGTAACACATGAGGAGTATCTGGTTTATTACTAATTACAAAGAAAATAAATACAATTGAGAATTTTGTTTGAATAATGTCTCGTTTAATCAATATTTTGAGGCTGAATAAATTGTTTTTTGGAGAAAAAGGTATCAAACTTTCAAGTAAATGATAATTTTGTTTATTTATTTTTTTATTATAATTTATCCTTCCAGTTCCCGTGGTTCAATCAAGAAGAGGCCTGCTCCTCCTCCCCCATCTTCCTCGAGCCCTGTGCTGCAGGCAGCACTCCAGCGGCAACAGCAAGAGGAGACGCAGCGGCATATTCAGAACCAGGAGAACTTGGCAAAGGGTACGAAAACATTTTTGAGTTGGAGCACTGTAAGAAAATTATAACTTTGAAATAAAGGTAAATTACTGCTAGGATTTTTTTATTTGGCAGTGTTTGATGTGCATATTTTTCAGTTATATTTAGTGTGTTTTATAAGATTTTTTAATTTGGAAGAGTTGATGTCATTTACATATTTTAAATATGGACACGAGACCCATCATTGGCATTAGACTTTCAGGTTGTCAGTATGATACGACCCCCAAGACCCCACCGGTGTATTCCGGTGCAATCAGTCACGGGGGGGAGGGTGTTGATATCCTTGTGGGGTCTTGGCCCCGGGCTGAGGGTGCTGTCCTTGGCGGTGGGCGGGACAAGGCTCGGCGGTGTACACCGCCGCGACAAAGTTCGACCCTATGTGTTGGCAGGTGGTCTTCAGTCACTGGCGGCACAGTCCGGCGTCGGGACGTGACGACCCCACCCCCCTTCGGTGTCTTCTTATTCCTGGCAATTTCCAGCTGAAGCCAGGGTCTGCCTAAAAAATTACTTCCACAGACCATGTTGTAGATAGTTTTGGCTTATTGTTTTTTTACGACCGGCCTCCTGCCTGACATCAATCCTCTTTGGGAAAGCTATTTTTGAGATATTTCAGTTTGAGCATTAATCGTCACGGTTGCTCAAGACGGGTTGGTGATTTCAAACTTATAATTATGAAATTATAAGTCCAGGTTTCCTCACGATGTTTTTCCTTCACCGTATGCTGGTGGTATCTAAATACTCTCAGAAAATACATATGACTCGGAAAAATCACATTGGTACTTGCCAGGATCGAAACCGCGCCCTCATGCATGAGAGGTCGGCCTTTTAATCACTAGGTCACCACCGACTTCCATCGCCCACCGTTGTATTCTGGTGCAAACAGTCGCGGGGGGGGGAGGGGGGGGGGGGGCTACCTCTCGCGATTAAACAAGTCCGCCAGGCGGGGGGACGCTCCTGGTCTCTTAGAGTGAACCCTCTTGCGTTCGCGGCCTGCCGCTGGATTGTCGCGGATGTATGCTTCGGCGATTCTCGTGGCGATCCACTAGGCGGTGACGGAGAGTGACTGGTGTTTTAGTGGGGAGCGTGGACCCTTCTGAGGTTGATGATTTATCAACAAAAGCAATGATTATTAAGCACTTATTTCACAAAGGCACATAAGAACATACAATATATATACTATGTATGTATATTGTCTTTAATTATTTTACAAGCTTATTTCAACTTGTAAATATTTTTTTAGGTTCATATTTTTTTAAACTACTTTAAATATATAGATAATTGTTTTATATACCTTTATTAATAAAAAATAACCAGAAGTGTTATTAAAGGAACATTGCCTTCATAACTTTTTTATTCAAAGTTGTATGCATATTGTTTATTTATTATTTTTAAACCATCTATTATGATACAATCTCTTTAAATATAATTTACCAGTAGTTTTGCAATTTTGTTGTGGTTTGTTATCGAAGAAAACTAAATGGAAGTAGGAGAAGGTAACACATCAATACATTAACAGTAGGTACAATTGAGATGGTTAAACAAAACAAATTAATTGTGAATGAATAAACAATTCATAAATTAAGTTATGTTTAAGGTCTACCGCCAATTCTGAACCCAGCTGAGAAACTAGAGAGGCTTCGAAAAATGGACGCTCTTCAACAAAGGGAGGTAGACGACCAGTCACGGAAGAACCGGCTGCAAGGAAGAGTATGGTCGAGGCCACATGTCTACCCCATCGGACACGTCCTTAGTGGACAGACTGAAGTGGTCGGTGAAGTGAGGAAGGAACTAAAAAACTTAAAGCCGATGACTGCTGAGGAGTTCAATGACAGATATAGAAACATTCAAAGTGAAAGACAGGACCGATTCAGTGAAATAAAGACCTCTTTAAGGGAACTAAGGAGAGGACTCAATGAGGTTCGTTGTATAATTGATCTCGACCACAATTAATGTTAGTTAATATATAGTAAAGGTTCACTAACTAACAATATCTAACTGTTACAGGTCATAGCGCCATACAATTTAAACTCAATCACAGATACCAATCACAAGTAAGTAAATATGTAATCTAACTTAGTGTGTTTATGAAAAGCTTAGTTATTTAATATAATTTTTCTATGGATCCAGTCGTCATGAGGAGGAGGCTCCATGCGAGTTCTGCGGCACCAGCGTTCTACTTGAAGACCTGGTCCTGCATCAGGTGAGATTTCAAGAGTTTTAATATGAACTATATAATCAAATAGATATATTGTATCATTCTGTTCCAGACCGGCTGCCGGCCGGATTTGGCCCAGTACCGCAGTCCGCCCCCCTCCCCCGGCCCCCGGCCCGCCGCCACTGACCCCTCCGCACCCCTCATACCCTGTGAGTTCTGCGCCAGACTGTTGCCCGTTCATCTTGTATGCCATCACCAGGTGACTGACACACAAATATATTTAAATAAATAATGTTCCCCTACTATCTGACACTGTGTCCTTAGATGAAGAAATACATGTTATATGCAATTAATATCTCCTATTAAACTTGAGATCTTTCTAACTACCTAACTTTTCTAGTGGATTAATTTCCTTATATATTATTTCAGGAACGTTGCAGAACAGAAAGAGACATATTACTTCCAGACTAAAGTATTAAGTTAAGCTCAAATCCAGAAACAGAATGACAATAATTAGTATTTCATATAAATGTCATGATAACTATTATTGATTATAAAATGTTTATTTTTCTATAAATATATGTTAAGTGTGAAACAAATCTGTTATAGCTGGGTTATAGGATAATTATATTGATGTTGTTAAATCATTACTATAGATTTGGTTATTTTTTCATAGATAGTAAAAATGTTGTGTCAATATAGTGTATTAGGAGATTTTCTCATTTTGGTTTAAATAACTTCTATACTGATGAATATATGGAGCTGTTCTTTTATTTAATGTAAACTAACTATTCTAAATAAGTGCCTTTTTTCACTGCCATCAAATCTCTATTTTTCATCCTTCTTAGTCCTTTCGAATTTTTTTTATTACTAATAAGTTTTTGTGTAACCAAAATATATAGGTATTGTAAACAGTCTGTATGTTTAATTAATGAATAAAGATTATATGCATGTTTGTGTTTTTTTAACGGCAAGTCCTATAAAAAATATATATAATTTATAAATTTATAATCTCTACAACAAAAAGTTTTTATTATGTTCATAGAAACTTTGTTAGTTAATAGAAAAAAAACGGTTATTGCTTTTCAATAATTTATTTACATGAAGTTATGTTTAATTCATTTTACATTTTTTCTTTATTATTACATTTACAGATACATATATAACTGTTTTAGTCTTACTAATCTGAAAGAATTCACATTTATTAGCTATATCTAAGACTCACTATCAAATTGATTATTAAAAATCATTATCGCTATTTATGTAGAAAGTTAAAACACTAAAAACGTCTCAATAACAAATGTAGGGAACATGTTTTAAGTATATAAAAAGAAATCAGGAGATTAGGTTTTTTAGAAAATTGATGCGTTCCTAATGATAATGTACTATACATATTCCAAACTTTAAAAAAACAGGACGTAGTGTAAGTGCGTCATTAAAAATGGTTGTTATGTCGCAATAATGTCGGTGGGAGTATATTGTAGATGTTTTATTAATCATGTAATCAATTGTTAACTTTAAAATAAATTAGTTTATTTAAAAATCATATTTTAATATTAGAAAAGAGAATACGTAAGTCACAAAAGTAACAGGTGTTACAATTAACAATAATAATTATTAATTTATACCATAAATTGTTTATAGTTTATTCGTTATGTCCGATACTAATACGTCAGACGACATATACTCAACCAACGTACCTTCTTATCTGTATTACATTATTATTAATGGTAGACTTTAGTGTTTAAACGATTCAGAGATTTACTTATATGAATTAGAAACAGCATAGAAAATATTCATTGGGACATCTGGGAATTGTAATCTGAAGTTTGGGACAATTCCATATTTTTTCACATCGACAGTGGCTCTTGAATTTTCTTTTATCATTCTTGTCTATCAAATTTGTACTTGAAATATATTTTGGTTTATTTGAATAGTTTAAATTAGATATAACTCTGGGTCGTGGTTTTGAGAATGTTCTAGATGTTGGTTTCGGTTTGTAGGTATACTGAGTAACCTTCCGTGTCGTTGGCTCTGGTGTTAACGTCGTTTGAACATCTTCAAATTCAGTTGTTACTTGTTCAAGTTCATTATCGGTTGTAGTTATTGGAATTTCCAAAGTTAGATTTTCAACTTTAGATCTCTGTGAGCTTATAATTTCTGGTTGCGTGTCTTCTGGTACCGATTGTATCTCGACGGAGGTAATATTGGAATCCTGCGGCGCTGACGTCACTACAGCCAGGTAGAAACACGGGAGAAGATATCTACAAAACATAACATAGGTTATTCGTTTTGTCCGATGGTAGAAGTAATAACAGGCCCCATTTTGGACACCAATAATATATAATTAATAATTATTAGTTTAAATTAAAATGACTATTGGTATATAGAAAATAAAGTAATATTTTCAAATGCCATGTTGAGAATTACAGAAGATTTTTTTTCATATATTTCATATTTATTACTCTTTTATCACTTTACATAATAGAATTCACTAAAATGAGGTTCTAATAATGATATTTGAAGATGAAATCTTCTCCATTGCTTCCTATAAACCTTGAATTTGTCTGAATGAATTATTTACATGTGAATTAAACGATTTTGCGAACATTCCAGCATGTATTGCCAAAAGAAATTACACGAAACTGTTATTTACTAGATTATCAAAGGTTATCCACCCATGTTGAAACTTTTGTTATATATATGTATTTAAATAAAGAAGGATCTCTAGATCATTCAATTAAATTAAAAAATTAATTTCAATTTCTTAAATCGATAGATTTTCCAACATCGTTCGCAACAAGCATCCTTAACAACAACAGTTTTAAGACCCAAGGTTATTTAATGGAAATCGTCGCTCAGCGAAAATATTACCTTTTTGCTTCATCCGTTTTTTATACATTATTTATTTTCTTTCTTATTATATACTAGCTTTCGGCCCGCAGCTTCGCCCGCGTGGATTTCGGATATATCGCGGGTCCAAGAGAACCTTTCAAAAGTCTGGGATAAAAACTATCCTATGTTCTTACACAAGGTCAACTCTATCTCTGTACCAAGTTTTACTAAAATCAGTTCAGTGGTTTAGGCTTGAAAGCGTAACAGACATACAGACAGACAGAGTTACTTTCGTATTTATAATAGTAGTAGGGATTTATAGTTTGGTTAAACCAACGAGAAAATAATAATGAACTCTTAGAATTCACAGGCGATAGCAACATTCAAACAACAAGGTTCAATATTAGTCTTCAAATATGGATATTTTTTCTTACCCACATTTTAATAAAAGATTATACACGTATCTATTATATCATGGAGGGGTAAATAAACCTGAGAAAGTCTAGAAATGGCCAGAAAAGTGGCTATCATTGTATCGATCTCACACAGTAACTTATTATTTTTTTAAATTCCGTTTATAAATGGATGGAAAAATTCTTTTCTATATATGTTTCAAGATCATTATACACAGCCTTTAGCTACTAGCGAATATTTAATGGATTAATATGAAATGAGGGAAAAAGGTTAATGATATATTTTATATTCGCACATGACCTTCATTGGAAGAACAAATTATTAAAATAAATAAATTCGGTCGCTTGCGTATATCGATCAAGTAGGGAAGCCGTTAATTCTGAATTCCTAAGTATTTAAAAAATATATATTTTATCTATAGTAAAATATTAACACAAAAAAACTATTTAATTTAATGGTTTGAGCTTATTACATCAGTAAATATTTGAATACGTATGTATCGTAAATACGTATATAAACATTTTTCCATTAATAAATCTTGTAAGAATACATTATTAAGGTGGGTTATTGTACGTAAAACGGAAAACGTTACGTATGTAGTGTGACCATGCGAACTTGTGCTATACATATATCATGATAATTTCTTAATTAAAATTTAAAATCAATAAATTAAAAAAAAAAGACGAGATAAGAGTGAAAGTTGACAGATAATTATAATTAGAAATCTCTAATATAACCACGATTTATAATTTGGATATTTTTGTACCTGTTTTAAGTTTCCAGCCTTTCCTTAAAAATATGGCGTTGATGTTAATGTGGGACTGTAAACAATGCTTCTAGGCTAAGGTCAGGTTTGCTTGTGGTTATGAAAACTTATTGAAGGTACTGTTTACAGACAGATGTTTTAAGGTTACACACATAATTAATATTAATTATAAATAAATATTACACATGTAGAATATGCGGATTTAATAGAATTTGAATTTTTAGAAAATGAAAAAGAATTAGTTCTTAAAATATGTGGAAACATAAAAAAATAATTATAATATGGTTGACTTTCTCAAATTTCTTTTCTCTTTTAAATTTTTGGCGTTGTTGTATTATTTTACAATAATATATTTATGTATCTTTTAAAAATTGCGTAGAATATTTGTTAATTCCCTAAATAATTCAATACCGATAATAGAAATATTCCGATTTTTTAATTTACTTCATTGATCTTAAATTTCTATATACATACATATGTTGCACATGACTGTTTTACGGAAACGGTACTTTTTAAAATATATAATGAGGTTTGTTTTAATTAATATGTTCTTGTTATTGCACTTCTTTGGGTTGGCTAATATTGTCAAAAGTTTTAAATATTTATTCATTTAAATTTAGCACAAAATTTAACATTTTCAATGTAACTTAGAATGGTAGAAACATTAAAAAAAAAATGTCATTGTTTAAAGACAATAAGCGGCGGGAACTGCCTGCTTACGCGCCAATTACCGCTTAGCATGCGAAACAATTATTTAAAATTTAATAGTTATTTATAAAATACATATATAATTTTTTAAAACCCCTAAAAAAACACTTATAAAATTCGCTTTACGATATAGGCTTTCCTTGTTTAGACAGGAAAATTCATGTACTTAAAAAAAACAATACTTACTTGTACATCTTAAAGGTCCTCCTTTACGCACGATAATCACAGAACAGTCGTAGGGATGAAATATCCAGCGTTTATAAAGAACCTAGTCAATTTACAATTTAACGACTGCGCTTCATAAAACACCCGACAGGTATGGACAAGATGGTACGTTTTACTCGGGCTTGGGGCTAACACTGATATGATTAGTATAATAGTATTGTTCTGAGAACAACTTAGTGTTTTATTAGCTGTGACCATCCGATTAAAAATATACATAAACATAATTCGTTTTGTTCTATTGAACTTGACGTAATTTTCCCAGTATTTTGGCATTGAATCATTAATTACTGATTTCGTTTTTTCATCGCGACGTACTTGTTATTTTTGTATAAATTTTTGCAGTCGTTTTTTTCTTTTATGTGATTTTTTTTATAATACAGTTGATTGCTTTTACCTTAGCAATGATGTTAAAGACAAAGAGTAATTCAAATAGCATATCATGGTATTAAAATTTCTGCCGTTTATGTAGAATTTAATCACAAGATTATTAACCTATTAGTAGATATTTATTACGATTCCCACAACGTAGTTGGGTAAAATATTTATATAAAATATTTCTTCCTCTATAATGTGATTTATAATTATAAAATAACTAATGTAATGAATAATAAAAGACCAAGTACCTACTTAATAAAAAATGCTTCACATAAATTAAAACACTATGTCATCTTTATACGCACTTCAAAGTGTAATGTACATTTGAATATAAATATTATTTTAAAGGGAAAAATGCAAATATCAATGCTAAAATTTACACAAAAATAGCAGGTAATTCATTGTAATATTGTAAATCATAGTTAAGATTTATTATTGAATTACGTACTTAATTTCGTATATTGTCGATGTACGTAATAGAATGTAGGTAATAGAAATGTCTGAATTATCGAACATATAACTATAATTTTATCGATTAGGTACATATTCTTTTGTTTTGTATCGTTTTTTATAAAAATATTATATTGTTGCTATCAATAATTTTTGTATATGTATTAAGCAGCACTTGTCAAGTTTTTGGACATGAATAACTTGGTTTTTGTCTTTTTCGGCAACTACTCGTATTATATGATATGTCATTATACACAAAAAAATAAGTTAACTAATACAAATATTTGGACCATTTTATAATAATTTTGAACACTGTTTTGAGTTTATGTTATTTTTTGGAATACATATTTAGTTAAGTTAGTTATCGGATGCTATGTTTAAGGAATGTGGTTATTATGTTTAAAAATTTAAAACAAAGTAAAAATTCTGTATTAGAATCTTTGATAATCGGATTACCATCAATCAAATGTAACCTCTACCCTAATAACGCAAATAGAATTTATTAAGTCTCCGTAAATTTTATATTTCACTTGTTTTACCTTTAGTACGACTGTATAGCCCGAGTGCCCGCAGAGTCAAGGTTTTTTTATTTTTAACTCTTAACGAAGAATATTGAATACTGCTGATTGAGAAACCTTGAAACGATCGATTTTTAATTCGGCTTCACAACTTTTATTAGGGAAATCGCTTTCGCCTAGCCAATCGCTGACACGGATGTTTCTAAACTTATAAACAAAATTTAAATCTCTTTTTTTCATTTCAAATTGACTTTAATACAATAAATTTGTATTCGCATTTTTCTCTCATCATACAATTACTATGATTTATTTATTTATTTTAGTCTATATAGTTAAGTGTTAAATCGGAACTAAGTAAGTATATTCTTATTAGTTGTAGAAGTTTTCCAAGTCTCTTCTTGTCTTGGCTTTGTCTTTGGAAAAGCAAATGTTTATCCTTTACTGAAGGGTTGAGAGGATATATATAAACTATTGAATTTTAGTCTAAATTTTATTCTTTTATTTAATTTTTATACAAATTATATCACACCTGTGTAATTTAAAAGTGCAAGAAAAAAGGACATCATCCCAAAATTTACCTATTACTGTATAATTTGTTCAAAGAAAAAAAAATATCAGTGTTTTTATTTCTTTAGAAACTTAAAACTACATTATTTATACAATAAATGAAGAATACTTCAAGGTCGAAGAGAGCATAATAAAGTGGTCACTGGCCGGCGGCCGCGTCTGTCATGGCCGCTTATATCATTAAAATAATTAATTGTATGTTCATAAATTCATTGATAACTTCAAACATTTTAAAACTGCACGACACTTCGAGCATTTCAAAGATATTTAAATTAGATAAAAAACAGTTTGTATTGAATGTTATCGAGAATTCCTATCAAATATATTTTTAGACGTTCCCTTTATGTGACGCCACAGAATAGCACTTTAAGATTTCCAGCTAATTAAAAGCAAGTATCAATATTCTTATTAAAATTG